TACATTTTATAAAAAATCATTTATATGATGTTTAAAATAACTTTACTACACTTGTTCTAGTATTTTAGCCATATCAACATTTACAATTTATTATAAACCACATCTCAGGGCCCAAAATACATTTTAGACATAATAAACAATTATATGGTACAAGTATAATAAAACAAAAATGCATCCTAATTGACAATATTTAAATTATTACACAAAATAAATGAGAATAAGAGGCTTTATAGCAGGAATTCAAGATTTTTAAGCCTCTATAAGCTTTTTTCTTTTCACACCGGAGCTAGAGCTTGTAAAATATTAAAAATAGATTGGTGAGTTTAGCCACTCAATAACTAAGGTATGCCTACCTCATGCAGTTATATATCAATTAATTTAAATCCTTAAAGTAAGTTGAACACTTAAAATCATATAAGTACATGTGATGTGTGTTCTAATCTCATAACAATTTTACTTTCACATATATAATCTCAGGTTGTAGAGTACATTGCCACAAGACACATAGACATGTGATAATGACCTAAATTATTTTCACGACTTGTCACAAGCTCAAACAACCTCATGACACTTCATATGATTACATAAGCATGATCAAACTATTCTTGTACCCTCCTTATTTTCTCCAACTAAAATCATGGATTATATCATCAAATAGGGATCCGTTCGTGTGACTGGACTATCTAAGCTCACTAATTGTGAGGTGTGACATAGCCAAAGATCACAAGACTTACTCTCAGACACAGTTTTTCTCACTCTTGAATCTCTAGGGTGTTGTATACCCTGAATTAATTTCCTCAATAAACTGGTAGAGATAGTTAGGTTCTAATTCTTCGATAAACTATAGAACAATCTCTCAAAAAATTATAAGACACGGCTATACTCTCATCAATAAAAGGTAGCCATAAATATTATATAAATTTTAACTACTCATCTCCTTAGGTGAACTCCTACCAATTGATCCTACTATGTACAATGCTTACTTATTTCACAATTTTATTTATTCAATATTAACATATTAGACTCACGATAATACGCTACCTAAGTGAGGATGCATACTGTTTTCACAAACATTTTTTACTTTATCAAATCATTAATTTCTCCATCAATACACAATTATTACATTACATAACATCACTTTCCTCATCCAGAACGAACACATATTTATAGTTTTGAAAATTACTTGGACATAAATTGTACATTTCAAGATTCAATAAACATTGTATATTCACAATTCAACTAATCATCAAGGCCTATGACATGCTTCACATTTGCAATCAAATCATACATGTCAATATACACATTTTCACAATAAATATTCAATTAACAACAACTATTCAAGATAAGATTTCTTTGGTTACTTTAAACTTTTGAAAGATCAAAGATTTACCCCTTAATACTTAGCTTCCAAGCTTGATTCACAAGCCAAATGTGATGCCCGAGCACTTAATCTACAATTAATAAATTTTAAGCTTATTAACATTGTCAAGAACACATTTTAACTTTTAAAGTATCTAACACTCTTATCACTCAACTTTAGGCTTACCCATTATGTTTATTAACTTTATTTAGCATTATATAGCTTTATTAAATTCCCATATTGTTATTAATGCCTCAACCACCTTCATAATTTCAAATTAAATGTCCATTTTTGGATATTTTTGGACATTAATGACATCCATCAATTAAAAGTGTCAAAACCCATAATCTCTAGGTTTAAATATTCTAAACAATTTTTATTAACTCCATTTGAGTTAATGAGTTTGGACCCATAACTTATGTGGACCAAAAATCATCTTCCATTATCAAACCCTGACTAAAAATTTTAAGAAAAAGAAAAAGAAAGGGAGATTAAGGCCTGAGAAACTTACCTTAAGTGTTTTTTAGTACCAAAATACTCCTAAACCACTAGTGTGGCAAACCTTAATAGAGCAAGGACGGGCTCCTCCATTTTCTTCTTTTGTTTTTTGTCTTAGTTTGCAACCACTATATTGGAATTTTTTAGTAGTGCATGGCATAGAGAGGTCCTTCCTTCTTTATTAGCATCTGTATGTCACGACATGTGGCACAAAGATACTTCCTTCGTGTTTTCTCTTTCTTTTAATGCTCGGGTGATCTGATTTTACTTCGGACCCATAATTAGGGTTAAAATTACAATCGAAAACATTTATTATACCTCTTTGACCACACATTATAACAAATCATTGAATCACTATAATTAAACTTGACTAATATCTTAATGATTCAAAGATTAAAATTTAGGATGTTACGCATGGCCTTTGACTAATTTGATTCCTATGCAGGTTTATTGGTATAAATGGCCAAAAAATAGTTATACATAGAGTGAACAACACACATCCACCAAATCATTAAATGACTATCACATCTCTCACTTTTAGATCCATAACTATAGGTTACAAATTTTAGATATTAGGTAAAAAAAATTCTAAAACATCCAACAAATAATCTTTAAGAGATGAAATTCAAAAGAGTAAAAAAGATAAGATATTCTCAACCTCTAGAGAATTGTAACGGCATTAATATTTTTCTTTAACACTAATTTAGTGACTCAATAGTATTATAAATAGTTGGTTATAATTTTCACTTGGACAATCACAAGAATGAGTCGAGACAAATTCATTAGAATGAAAATTGAATGAATGGAATGAAATGATGACAGAATACCACAAAAACTAGTCTTTATGTCAATATATACAACTAAAATGAAAGCCAATATACAAATATAATGTATCAGTATTAGTCTTAGTCAAAAGCCAAATTAATGTTTTGCTTGAAGGTCCATGACTCATTTTTGAATTTCATATCATAATATTCAATGACAAAATTAACAAATTTGGTAAGTAGCAACATGATTACATTTCTTCAATGATATGCACAATGAACCAAAATCATCTCTAAATAAGGAAAAGGGATAATGACAGCTAAGTACTGAACGTATTTTATGCCTTACAACATCCAAACACAAACCTTGACAAACAAAAAGCTTTTGGAATATTTATATTTTCCAGCTGGATTTAGTCAATCGACCACAAAAGAAAATGAAAGCAATAAAATCAAGGATAAAAAAAGCAAGGACAAGGGAAGTCTACTACCATACCTTGGTCGTGAAATTCAAAATATCTATATAGAATACATCTTTTGTCATCGTTGTTATTGTTGATGTCGCCACTTCTCTCTCGTCTTTGCTCATTGCTGTCAATAATAGTCGATTTGAATTTTGAGTGAAGTTAGGGTTATATGACTTCAGGGCAAATTTATCTTTCTAAATTTTTTATAAGGATAAAAGCATCTTAAAAATTACAATTCTATGGAATTGTTGAGGTTTCCATGCTTAAAACCAAAGAATCCAATTTAAGTTTTTTTCATGGAATCAGATTCATGGGAGCTATAATTCATATGTACAAAACATTACTTTATTAAAATTTCTATCCAATTCCATTTTCATTAATGGGATTCAATTCTACCAAACATGGCCTCAAAGATCCAATATGTTGTATGTGAAAGTATATTTGAATCCATGAAGATTTATGTTTTACTAAGTAACTTTTTAAAGTTAAAATTTGAATACAAATACACTTTTGCAGTGGTGGTAATGACTAATGAACCAAAAACAATTCTTACACATTTTAACTACCAAGTAACTTTGATTTATTCTCTTTGATCATGTTTGTAAGATACCTTTTAGAAATAATTTTTGATCTAAAATGTAGGATATTTTTTAATATTTAAATTATTATTTTTTAATTTTACTCTTTATTAATTAACATGAAGATATTTAATATTATTATACCATTATTAAAAGTCAATGGTAAAAAAAAGTATACATATTTTTTATGACATTAAGAATTTTTTTAAAATGTTTAAAATGATTAAAAGTATTTTATAATAAAAACTGAAAGCAGTGTATCATTTTTCTATCGAGGGACGAAGACACCATTTGTTTATCCCAAGAACTCTCGCTTAAGATTACTCTGGCGGCTTCCCGAATGAAGAGAGGAGAAAAGAAAGACGCATCAATACATCCAATATGAAATATAAAAAAGTTTTCTTTTCTTTTTTCTTTTTAAATATTGCATTGCATACAGGTTTATGAATCATACAACTCATTAAAAATCCTGCGTAATCAAATCACTACGATTATTTTAAACACTTGTTTGCCGCAGAACCTCTAAAGAAGTCACATATCAAGACGGAAGTGGAGAATCTACATTCTGCTCAATCCACCACAGAAAAACAACGCATAATCACATCCCTAAAGTAAGAACGTTTGTCAGTTGTATGTATTGTGTAAGTTGTCCTGTCCTGTTAAAGCCGTCTCCATGTACTGTATACTGTATAGTGTATATCACCCAGGTTGATGGCCCAAAACCAAAAAAATAAAAAATAATAAAAAAATCCATCGCCATGGGTGTAGAACTGTAGAGTGTCGACCGGCTTGAGGCTATCATCAATTTTTGAACTGGGGAGAGGCAGATTTGGGGCATAAATTTTTGTATTTTATAATTTATACTTTTTATTTATTATACTTTACATTTTTTTATTTTTATATTTTAAATTTTAAATTTATTTTTTTTAACCCAGATCAATTCAAATTTTTAATCTAATTTTATAAATATTAACTCATAATTTCACTATACTCAAATATTAATATTATTTATTAATTATTTAAAAAATAAAAAAATTAACATGATTAAATAGATTTGCTATTCATCTTAAATATTATTCAAGAACTAGTTTAAAAAAAATAATAATAAATAATAAAAATTTAAAATTTAAAAATAAATTGGGTGGATTTTTTTTTTCTAGCTTGCTGAACTTTTTAATTAGATGGGGAACAAAAAAAAGGAGGAAAAATAATTAATTTAAAAAAATAAAAAATGTTTTTTTCTTTTATCAAGTATTCTAATTCTGTCATTGCTCCCGACCCGGGATCTTGACTCCGCCCCTGAGGAGAGGCATGGAGGCATGGTCGGTCGCCTTGCGGTCGTCTTCTTGACTGGAAGATAAGTAGATAACAGATAAACTCGACGCTCCTGTTACCTTTCCCACCATTTTCCTAAACACTTTCTTTATATTATTTTCTCCCCCACATGTTTTTTAAAACCAAATCAAAATTGATAGACCCATGCGGAACATAAAAACAAACAGATCTCACTGTGTGTTAGTTCTTCAGTATATCGGTTAATCCTGGAGCTTGTTATTGCCTATTGATGCGATCTTTGCCTTTTCCTCCGTCTCAACATCTCTTTCCATTAGATTTGTTGAGCTACTCGATTTAATCTCCATCAAGTCTTCTTGTCCTTAACCACTCCCCCAGAGGAGGATACATGGATTCATCTGCTTCTCCACCTGTTTCTCGGAGGTTCTTCTGCACCTGTAAATTGCAGTGAAATTGTAAAATTTTGTCTGTAAGTCTAAAGTGGCCCCTTTCTGCCAAAATTTTCCAATTTTTTTACATCACAGAGAAAACAAAAGCCCTCCGATTAACATTTATTTTGTGGCCCCAAATGGCCAAGTTGCTTGGAGTGACATTCGTGTTTCTGTTTCCATCATGACGATGTTTCTGTCGTGGTTTCAATTTAAAATTCTGAGACCTGGGTTTATATTCTCTTGGCTCTGTCTGAGAACCCAATTCGGAAAATCACGCTCCTGTATTCTTTGATAACCCACTTTTTCCTATTCATGTTCTCAAGTCAAATTCTTCAACTTTCTGGTGATAACCTAAGGGAGAACAAATTCTGATTCCTGCTCAAGTTTTTTTTCCCAAGGGAGAACAAATTCGTAAATTGGAAAGCACAGAAATAACAAGAGCGCCAACTTAGGTATTAGGCACACATGGACTGGGACTGGAAAGAGTCGGCGTGGGATCCATCTGGGCCGGAGCTATCAAATGGAGCGGCTTCAGTGGATTTGAGTCTTGGAGAGACTTCTGATATCGTACAAAAATCAGCCTCATATGCACCCAAGGACTTACCGAGAGACTCGAAATCGGCATCATCGCCATGTGGTTCGTCAAAAAGGAGCCGTACGTTGAATGGATCGACGCAGAGCGTGTCGTGCTTGGTGGATGGATGCGACTCCGACCTGAGTGATTGCAGAGAATATCATCGGCGACACAGAGTGTGTGAGAAGCACTCCAAGACGCCCATTGTGTTGGTAGGAGGAAAGCAGCAGCGATTCTGCCAGCAATGCAGCAGGTAAAGTGGGGTTTCTTGAATTCTTTTGTTTTAGTTTCAGATATGTGTGAGGTTGATTTGTGACAACCGGTGGTCGATGATTGTTGTAGATTTCATTCTCTGGGAGAGTTTGACGAGGTTAAGAGGAGTTGCAGGAAACGTCTTGATGGACATAATAGGCGCAGAAGGAAGCCTCAGCCGCCTTCTCTTTTCATGGCTGCTGAGAAATTCCTGAGCGGCTACAAAGGTTTGTACGGAAACCGAAGATACTAAATATGTTGATTTTAACTATGACTCCAATTGGAAAGTTAAGATGCTGTCCGTTTATTAGCTGATTGAAAACAAAATTACGATACCTCCTTTTATAGATGTTTGACTGGAACTCCAACAAGTCCAAATCATGATAGATTTTGGTCGTAGAAGTATATATGAAACAGAAACAAGCAACTAAGAAGAGTTAAGATGAAAGAGTAACCTAGTTTAAGAATAAAGAAGAAGGTGTCTGCTATTAGAAAGTGAAACGTAGTCACCTAGCAATGCCCCCTATAGTTTGTAGCTGATTAGGAAGATAAAAGTGATATTAGGGTTCAGAACTCTAAAATGGTTCAAAATTGAAAATATTGATAGCTTAGAAGTTTGGGACAAGGCAGGTTATTTTTCCATGGAAGAGAAGAACATGAAAATTTGTCGCACATAGTTCTGCTGGTGTTGGATTCAATTTCTGGTTCTGTCTTTTATAATGATAAATGGTTACATCTATGTTTCTCTGCTAGTTATTTCTTGTCTTATCCCCTATCGTCTAATTTCTTTTAATTTTGGGATTTCCTTGCCTTTCTACGATCAAGGACCCAGAATCCTTCATTTCGGTAGTCCTCAAACGTGCAACAACCCGTTTCTGACGAGCACATGGCCTGCCACTGCCAAAGCTGGAGCTGAACCAGTGATGATCAGTTATGACCAAAACAGTCTGCTAAGTTCCTTTGCTAATGTCCAGTATCAGCAGGATAAGCAACTTCCTCTATTTGGGTTAAGCAGCTCTAAAGCAGGCCATGGCGATGAGGCAGTGTCTGGGATTCCCATGAGCCAAACAACATTTGGTGCTGTTTCCCCATCAGCAAGTGCAAATGGTGGGCGGAAGCCTGCTTCTGATTGCAAACCTGGATCTTTTGATTCAAGTTGTGCTCTCTATCTTCTGTCAACACTTCAGACACAAAGTCAACAGTTAAGCTTGGTGCAGTCCACCGTAAATTGTCCAGTGCAATCATCTCCGTTAGAAGATTTGCATTTTGATGCTGGGGACAAGTACTCATCTTGCTCAGAAAGTCCACAAGGGAAGTCTACTAATCCCTTGTTGGTATTTGATGCGGACACAGCCAACCTTAATTGCAACCATATGATGCCCATGACGCCTGATGAAATTGTGGAAAATGGGGACTTGCCAACCTTACCATTTTTCTGGGAGTAGGTTGCTAACTTGTTATTCATTGGTTGGAAATTTCTTGCACTGTTGATGTTGAACTAATTATCTCTGTATTCTGACTAAGAAAGCTGAACATGAAGCCTCTAGAATTTGTCCTTGAAGTCCTTGCAATGTCATTTCATTTGTATGGAACAAATTTTATGGAAGTGTAGTATATGTTTTGTAAACCTCAGGGAGTTGTGTTTTTATTAACATGTGATTCCAAATCACAGAAGGCTTGGGTGCAACTTATGTTGTGCTTTAATTTTAGGGAATATGATTTAATTTTGCCCAATCCATTACAAGGCCGAATTTGAGTTAAGAGTAATCAATCAAAATGGGAATGGGAGCTGGTGGGCCATGGTATGAGGCATTTCTAGCTGGCCACACTCAGATTTCTGACTAATTTTGTAACCTTCAAGCCAAGACCAAGAGTAGGGTGAACGCCTTTTGTTGCTTTTTCTGGAAATAGCTAGTGTGGGAATCTTGAATGGGTTATGAGTGGATGCTTAATGGCTCTCGACTTTTAGAAAGCAAACAGGACAACGCTGGACCATTGCAGGAGCCTTTTATTCCCTTGATTAAGATGGAAAGTCCAAAAAAAAAAAAAAGTTTGGCAGTGAAATACTGTACATCCAATTATGTAAGTTCGAATTTTGAATAGTTTATCTAAATGCCTCAGCAAAGTTTCTGGCTGGCCCTGCATTTCCGCAGGATAACAACTAACTAGAAATTAACTTGACCTGAACTGATGGATTCTAACATGCCCGACATTACTTCACAAGAACGATCAGCCACAAGTCTGCTTGGCATCTTTGATTGCTGTCCGGAATTTTGTGCTTCATTTTGATATTGGCTGAAATCTAGCAGGTAATAGGCTTTATTAGGAGGATGTTATTCGCAAGTGCAGCTTTCAGTGGGAAAGATTATGGTGAAGCGGTTAATAGAATTGACTTGGGGAAAAAGATAGCGATTAGGGTGCTGCTATAAACTGTAAAGTAATTGGGTTTCTTTGCTTTATTTACTGTATTATTCTGAGTGAATAATCTTGTACTCTTGCTGTTTGTCTTGTCCTCTTTCAATTCTGTTTACTTAAAGAGTATGTTTATGTTGGGTTGGAAGTTTTTGAAGGGAAAGGAAAGGGAGATGAGGGGTTCCAGATTGGGAAATGAGACGTAAATGGTGAAGAGCAAATCAATTATAGAGGATAAAGCAATTTGTCGTTTCCAAAAAGTGGGAAGGGAAAAAGAAATTGTGGGGGCGGCGCTCTCATATAAACGATTTCCTTTGTACTTAACATAATATTCGTTTCGTTAATTGAGATTTGAGATCGCGTGATTCTCGTAAAAAAAAAAAAAAAAACCCTTTCCAGTTCCTAATTATTAATCAAGTAATTATCATGAAAATATAATAATAGAAATTATTTAGAGTAGTTTAATTATTTAATTATTTAATCATTATTTTTAGTTTAATATTTCACTTAAAAATATTTTTTTAATTCGGAATTTCTTCTTAATGAGAATATAGGAAAAGATCCCAACTCAAGCTTGTATTTTTTTTTTACAAGAAAATTAGTTTCTGATTTTTTTGTTCAAAAGGTGCTGAATTACTTATTACATAAATTTTGACATCGTTTCATTATATTGGATGAACTTTGAAATAGCGAATTTTTTGTTTTGTTTAGAGAATAAGAAGTAAAATCTAAAATTATCAATCAACACTCGTGCAATTATTTCTAGCGTTAATTAATCTGCTTTGAAATATTTAAAAACAAAAAAAATGTTTAAACTACTTTAATAATAAATGTATAATAAATGGATTATATTGAAAAATAATGTTAAAAAGCAAAATTTAAGAAAAATGATAATCTTTTAAGAACTAAAATTAATTTAAACGAGATAAAGAGATTATTGCAGACCGCGAGCGATAATCCAAATCCACCTGACATGAACACGATTCAGTTCAATGCGGTGATGATTATGAGCACTGAGAAACCCACCAAGGAATGCAATTGGAAACTCTCCAATTTGCGACTGTAGGATTTTCAGCTTTTTCAATCTTTACAACATTGACTGAAGGAGATGGCCACTATAAGCTTCACAACCTGGACATTTTACCAAAGCCAAAAGAAGTTTTATAAAAAGTATAAGTAACGACAACTAAAAAACATCTATAAAAATTGTCGAACAAATCTTTTAATGAATGATATTTCTAAAAATTTAGATTATGATAGAACACAGTAATATTATACAATTCATAAAGGCAACCCCATCTAACAGAACAAGTTATTGTTGTATAAGAAACAACGACCCATCACTCACCAATTAGATCCCGAAGCCTTTAGGAAGCCATCTTTAACTATTCCCTCATGGAACCATGGTCAACGATTTACAAGATTTATTAAGCAAATACAATAAAATTTGTTAACCACTTGAGAATACTGAATAGGCAACGGGTGATGGTTCAGTATACTTTTTTTTGGCTCGGTGTTTGACAAGGTCAGGTCAAACAATTTTTCACTTGATGCTCCTTTCGTGAGCTGCTTATTATTATTATTATTATTTTAAATGTGCAAAGTTGAAAATGAAATGGAAATTATCATATAAATCGATCTGATTGAAATTTATATTTTATCAACGGTAACGGAAACTCAGTCCCATAAAGACAAATTTCACCGACTAGAGAGAGAGTAGAGACTAAAGTGTCGTAGAAATTTCCGACATCACCGGAATGATAAAATATAACTTCAAGTCATGTGCAGGCCTGCAAACAAATTCAACTTCCCTAATAACGGAGTCGTGGGTGCTACCAGCGGTAACGATCCAATTATTTTCAGCACCCTGATCATAAAGATTTTCTGAAATTTAGTAGGAACTAGGAATTGGAGCTTCATACCATACGGCAACAACTTTCATCTCGTGATCTCGGTAAATATACTATTGTAAGAAATAACAGGGACAATGACGAGTTTCTATGAACAGACATTATGAGCACTTCATAGCGGTAGACCACGCATTAGGTCAAACGTAGCAAAAAGAGAGAACCAGAAATAAACAAGATGACTGACCCAAACATAACTATGATCCTCAAAGATTAGTCCTTGTCCTTCTTGGGAACGTCCTTCGGCGAAATCTTTGATTCCAGTTCCTTGGCAGACTTCTCAATGGCCCTAGAAAACATAGCAACAATCAAAATACAGTCTATCAACCTCCCATAGGATTAATAACCATCTTTATAAATGATGCTGCGGAAAACAGGAATTGAAGGGGAGAAAAAGGAAGAAGATGCTTCACAATTCAACATGCATTCAAGGTCCAAGCTATAATATAATACTATTATTTCCAGTCCATAGTTCACAATACCATCACCAAAACAACACTTACGAGTTCCAAATAAGCCAAACAGCCATATCAAAAAAAAAAAAAAAAAACGAGTAATGAAACTTAGCCAATGCATTGAACTGCTTTCTTTCAGGAACCAGAGTCTAGAACTCAAGGGATCGATAAAGGTCTAATTACATGCTCTCTTCCACCCATGGCTTTACTGAAAACTCCATGGGATTAGCCTCATGAACCCCCCTCTCAATCAGAAGGAAAAGAAAACATAAACAACCTCCAAAGATAGAGACTTTATGAGCATCTTTTGTGACTCATTCCCATTACTTCAGATGTTACGACATATTGCCCAGACACTGTAACTTAAAGATCAGAAGAAAAAGAGTGAACACTCCTTTTTCTTGCTTTCAATGCAAATCGCAGCAATGAAGGCTATCAACAAGATAAAGAATTTCCCTTAAACCATATTAATGTAAATTCATCACTCCACTTGTACGTTGTAAACAAATGGCACCTGTATAATGAGGATTAGGAAGGAAGGTAGGAAGAAATGATAAAAAGTAGTTAGCATAAGGTGTAAGACATTCAAAATCCTATATTGCATACATGTTATCCAACAAACCAGAGCAATCTAACGCAAAAACGCCATATTATTGTACAAACAGCTACGCAAAGTAAAATTTTTCATAGGGTACAACACTGTGAAGTGTGAACTAGCAGATCATATGATACAAGCTCAGGACAAATATGAAGGAAAAGGAAGAATCTACTAAATTAAATAGAGCAAGAATCTCACTCTAATGAACTTAATAGCCAAATAGGAGAATCTTCAAGGCAAAACAAGGTTTATTACTCAATGATATCCTGCTGTTATAGAAGCAAGGATATTTATAACCAGAAATTGCAACTAAACAAATCAAATAATACAGAATAATAGCCTACAAAACAGAGAATAACTGACTAGCACATGGGTACCTCGCTAACAAGGTTAAGGTCCTATTATTCAGCTACTAACAGCAAAACAAAACAATAATTAATTAAAATAACAGCAAATAATTAATTTAAATCAGATAAATCTCTCATAATCAGCATAACAGCATCAGATTCTGTTATCTTCCTCCTCTTTCTGTGTTGACAAGTGATTATGGGTCTGTTATGTTGACTTGGACCCTTATCATTACTCCCCCCTTATCATTACCCTTATCATCTCTCATAATCTCTCATAAATCTCTCAAGGCGGAAATTGGGAAATTGCTGTGCAAACAGATCATAATCTTCCCAACTTGATTCTTCCTCCGGTCTGGACCGCCATTTGATTAACAGCTCCCCCAGTGGTAAGATAGAACAGCTTCAGGTTCCAAAACAAGCTCAAAATCAGTTGACAATGGTAAACCTGCTAGAGGATCAAGAAGGGGCCAGCCGTTAGCTGGTCTCAATAATGAGACATGAAAAACCAGATGAATTTTAGCCATTGATGGTAGCTGCAATTCATAGGCCACTAATCCAATCTTGTGAATGATGGTGTAAGATCCAAAGAAAAAAGTTGAGAGCTTGTCATACTTCTTATGAGACAATGAACACTGCCTGAAAGGCTGTATCCTCAAGAAAACCGCATCTCCCACCTCAAAAGAAAGCTCACGCCAATGTTGATCCACATAGCTCTTAATTCTATTTCAGGCTTTGTTCAAATTATCCCTGAGAAGTTGCAGCATATGATCTCTACTTTCCAATTAGTTAGCAAGCTCAACAATGTGAGTTTCACCCTTAATGAAAGGATGAAGTGGAGGCGGGTTCCTACCATATACCACTTTGAAAGGGGTAGTATTGGCAGAAACATGGAAACCAGTGTTGAATGAGAATTCAGCCCAACATAAGAACTCACTCCAAGAACGTGGTTGCTCATGTGCAAAACACCATAGATATGTCTCAAGGCAATGGTTTACCACTTTAATCTGGCTATTAGTCTGAGGCTGGTGTGCAACAGTCATCTAAAGGCGAGTTTGACTTAGCTTAAATAATTCCTGCCAAAAAAGAACTCAAGAAAAACGGGTCTCAATCTGATAGAATAGAATGAGGCATGCCATGCAACTGAACAAGTTCCTCACAAAAACAAGCAACCACGGATGTTGCAATATAGGGATGTGAAAGGGGAATGAAATGACAATACTTACTCAACCTATCACCTACCACCAGAATAGCATCATAATCACTAGATTTAGGCAACCCAACAATAAAATCAAGAGAGATATCCTCCCAAGTTTTTTCAAGAACTGGTAAAGGTTGCAACAAGCCTGCTGGCAATAGAGTCTCATATTTGTTCTTTTGGCAAGTAAAGAACTATTAAACCAAAGCTTTTACATCATATTTCATTTTAGGTTAGTAAACCATACCTGATAAACAATTGAGAGTTTTTAATAAGCCACTATGACCCCTCGAAGGTGTCACATGTGCCTCTTGTAGCAGCTTGGAGCAAAGAGAGGAGCTCCAAGGAATGACCAAGCACCCATTAAAATATAATTTCTGCTCAACCAGACTGTAATCGAGACGAGAATTGAGATTTTCTTTCAAAGCAGCAACAATAGGAGCTGTAAAAGGGTTTGTTGTCAAAGCCTCTTGTAATTCTAAGAAAACCAAAGGCACGAAAATCACCAAGTTGAGAAAATCAGCATGTTGTGGCCTTCTGGATAGCACATCAGCCCTAATATTCCCCTTACCAGCCTTATATACAATGGAGAAATCAAATGGAAGCAGCTTAAGGATGAGACGCTGTTGAGTATTTGTTAAAGTTCTCCGCTGCAACAGATTTTTCAAGCTGCTATGGTCAGATTTTACTGTAAAATGCCTTACTAACAGATAATGACACCACTTTTGGCGTGCTAGCACTAAAGTAATAGTTCCTGATCATACGTTGATGGAAACCTGCTAGAAAAAGATAACCCCTTGCCATAAAAAGTGATGGGGGTTGGTCCTATTGCACGAGGATGGCCCCATACCCTCCATCGAAGCATCACACTCTACAACAAACTCAGCTGTGAGGTCAGGAAGTTTTAAAACAAGGGCTGTAATTAGATAAAGCTTAAGCTTCTCAAAAGCTCTTTGAGCTTCCGGGGTCCAGCAAAAAACATTCTCTTTAGTTAATTTAGTAAGGGGACGAGCAATAATACCATAATCCTTAACAAATCTTCAGTAATAACCGGTGAGCCTTAAAAAGCCTCGGAGCTCAGTAACATTTGTAGGTACTGGCCAATCACTTACAGTATTGATCTTTTCAAAGTCCGTTTCCACTTCTTGTGCTGAAACTTTATGCCCTAAGAAGGACACACGTGTTTGCCTAAACTCGCATTTCTTGAAGTTGGCATAATACGATTGTTACTGCAAAGTAGAAAACACCAATTGGAGATGATCTTCATGTAGTTTTGGAGTGAGACTGTAGACGAAGATGTCATCAAAGAAAATCAACACAAATTTCCTAAGATAAGGATGGAAAAGATCATTCATGGCTGCTTGAAAAGCGGCTGGTGCATTTGTTAGTCCAAAGGGCATTACGACAAATTCATAGCGTCCGCCATGAGTTCGAAATGGTGTTTTATGAATATTTGCTGGCAAGACTCATATCTGGTGGTAATTGAAGCATAGGTCAATCTTTGAAAAATAAGTTGCTCCATGCAACTCATCTAAAAGCTCATCAATGTTGGGAATCAAGTATTTGCTTGGGATCGTAATCTGGTTCAAGGCCCTATAGTCCACACAAAGCTCTAGGAGTCATCCTTTTTCTTCACTAGTAAACCGAACTGAAAAAAGGGCTTGAACTCAGCTGTATGAAACCTTTCTGTAACAATTCATCCACCTGCCTCTCAATCTCAATCTTCTAAAAGTAAGGATAGCGATAAGGACGCAATTATGAGGTTGAGCCCCTTTAAAAGATGAATGGCATGATGTGATCTCTGAAAGGTGGCAAAGTGGTTGGTTTAGCAAACAATCCATCAAATTCAACCATGAGCTCATCCACATCCAATGACTTGATACTAGGAGACCCCAATGTGAGCTCAAAAGAGAACATGGAAAGCAAACTAGCATTGTAGTTTGAGGTTTGAGGTACTCCTTGCAGTTTATACCGTTTGCCACCAACCCAGAAAAAAAACATCTCATTCCAATTGGCTTGTATAGTACTCAAGGAATCTAACCATTTAATTCCTAACACCAGATATGTTCCCACAAGAGAAAAAGGGTAAAAATCTTGTTTAATGGTAAAACCTGGTAGCTTCACATCCACTTCTTTACATACACAATTTCCTCGAACCACACTGCCATCTCCAATCTACACACCAAAAGTGGGAATAGAAAAAGTAGGCAAGTTCAGCTCTTGCACCAACGAGTCAGAGACAAATTGTGGGTCGACTCAATATCTACAAGGAGCAACACATTGCGATTAAGCACCCGACCACTTAGTTTCATAGTTGCTGCCGAAATATTGCCCAAAATAGCATTAAATGAGATTTTTGCACTTCCTGTAATCTCGTCTTCAACCTCTGCCACAGTGTTGGGATTTTCAAAAATGGGTTGCCCATCCTCATCAATCTCCATGAGTGAGAAAGATGAGGATTTGCAAAGGTGCCTAGGCTAGAAGACCTCCTTACAACGGAAACAATGTCCCTTATCCTTATGGCACTGCTATTCAGTGTCTGAGAGCAGAGATCGTGCCTAGGTGGCGCTCATTGGTCACAAGCTCAAAGAAGATGCAGGAGAGTTCTTGAACGTGTTCAACGAGAAGGCTATGGCAGAACCTTGTTGGTCACATGCGAACATGTTGGAGGCATTAGTGAACTGAGTTTGGGTCAAGAAGAGCTAGGCCTGTGCCCACAATGCAACTGTGACTTTTTCTCATATTCTAAGGCTAAGCTAAACTAGTAGCCTTATACACTATGCAAGGTTTCTAAATACGCACATCAAATTTCAAGTCATCTCAAAGTCCTCCAAGAAAGATGCCTAATAGGCAGTGCTTTGGCCAATTATGAGCTTGTGCAACTTGCTTGGCAAGTTCCTGGCAATACTCTTGCCCTAATCTAGTTTGCTTGATAGTGGCCAAGTGTTCATCAGGATTTTGATATTGTGGAGGGCCATAGTGTTCTTGCAGTGCTTTAACTAACTCGTCCTAATAAATTAAGATATGTTTTGAATTTATCCATGAGAATAAATCCAAAGCATCTCCTTCTAAATACATGGAAGCCACATCAACCTTCAAGTCTTCTAATGTCTAATAATGCCTAAAATATTTCTCAACCTTCAGAATCCAACCATATGGGTCACCTCCACTGAATTTTGTGAATTCAATTTTGGTGTGTGGCGGACATGGACCTCTTCTATGGTCTGACTCTTCATCACTGTCTTTGTCCCAGCGTAAGTGTCTATGATAGCTTCCCACAGTTCTTTTACCTTTGTTGGCAGATACCTCAAGTTCTTCAACCTTCTCTTTTAATAAGTCAAGTGTTTGAAGTCTGGATGCAATGGTGGCTAAAGGGTCTATTGCAAACAGGTTTTCAGTAAGCTGCCATGGGGTAGGTTGTTAGAGGAGTTGGCAGGGTCAGTTTCATTTCTGGATTGTGTGGCCAGCATATTGATCGAACAAGGCTTGGATACCAATTTGGTAGAAGCTCAGGACAAATATGAAGGAAAAGGAAGAATCTTTTAAATTAAATAGAGCAAAAAATCTCACTCCAATGAACTTAATAGCCAAATAGGAAATCTCCAAGGGAAAACAAGGTCTATTACTCAATGACATCCTGCTGTTATAGAAGCAAGGATATTTATAACCAGAAATTACAACCAAACAGATCAAATAATGCAGAATAATAGCCTACAAATCAGAGAATAACTGACTAGCACGTGGGTACCTTGCTTAAGGTCCTATTATTCAGCTATTAACAGCAAAACAAAATAATAATTAATTAAAATAACAGCAAATAATTATTTTAAATCAGATAAACCCCTCATAAATCAGTATAACAGCATCAGATTCTGTTATCTTCGTCCTCTTTCTGCGTTGATAAGTGATTATGGGTCTGTTATGCAGTCTTGGACCCTTATCATCATATGATAAAATTAAACATCTTTTCTTATGATGATAGCAATATCATCATTTGACTAGGAATTCAGTAAGTCCAAGCGAGGTGCTGGCTCAACCAGCAGTAATATTTCATTTCCCTTTCACATTAAAGTGTGAAACGTCAAATGCTCCAGTGAATCACCACCACAGCATCAACTAATAAGTCCCACATTATTTAAATTAAATTCTTTATTACAGAAAACATAACAGAAATCCACGCCTGGAAACTACTTAAAGCAGCCATCATCAATTTTATCTGGGTAAAATTGTGATGAAGAAAGTCTTTTTGTTATTTTCTCCATTCTCTTCCTATCAGTAATTTTAACGACAGATTTTCGGAAGAAGCAAAGATAATGCACCTATTTCACACATGTCATTGGTTAATTCAGAGAACTAGAAAGATCTTGGTTACATGGTGAAGGCAATCCAACAATATGTAGCAACGAAATACAGACAGTTTAGCATCAGATCAAGCAGGGGAGACTAAGACATCGATTCCAATACGAACATAAAGTGAGACAACACTTCAATTTGAATAATTCAGATCAATCTCACCCTAAACACCCACTCAATACTCTAGAGTTCAGCTCCTAGAGAGTTCATTACCCTTGTTAACAGAGTTCCCTCCGGTAAATGGAAATTCAATTACTATGTCAGTCGAAAACTAATAAAATAGAAAAAGGGCTAACTTGGACGCGTCGGCCGTTTCTTCTTCGAGCCACTGGCGGACGTGCTTGACGTTTCGCCTGAAAATAGAAGCAGACTGCTTCACATCACTCCTCAGCAGAAGAATTACGGCGCTAACACCAGCCACTGTAAGCACGAAATTCGTCAGCCCCATCCTCTGTTCAGACTTCAGACCCCGTACAGAAGCTCCGGAACAAGTGTAGTGAACGACGTCGAAGGGTTTTACCCCTTTCTCGGAGAAGACGAAGCTTTCAAAACCCCGGCAAAAAAAAAAAAAAAAAAGAAAAGAAAAGAAAGAAAGAAAGAAAATAAAAGAAAAAACAAGAAGAAGAAGAAGAATTGGACCAGTACACGGGCCCATATTAATTGAATTGGGCTGATCCGATGACTCACACGTCAATTACTCATTCCGATTTGTCAGTCGCTATTGAAAATGGAAACGGTTTTTTTTTTTTTTAAAGCAAGGTCGGGACTTGGGACCTACTCTCATGGTTCGGAGAGGGGCGAAGAAGAAGAAGCTTTAATTGTATTATCATTTTTTTAAAATTCAGTTGCCAATAAACTTGAAAATAATTAATTGTATTAAGTGAAATTTTAAAATACTTCTAAAAAAACACAAAATAAAATGAACTATTATATAGTTAATATACTGGTTGTGTTGAATAAAGAGTAATATTTCTATACTTTAAAGACTTGAAGTATTAATGAATTTAATAATCAATAGCTTCAAATCTCTTATAGTTAATGTAATTATTTTGTTTAGCAGACAGAAGGATTAGATTCCACCAATATGAGAGAGCTAGATTATCTCCCTGACGTATGAAATTATTATATAATTATAATGAAAAACTTACTAAAATGATGCAATAATTATAAGTAATTGTGATATTAAATTTTTAGGTTCATCAGGAGGGGAGATGGACAGTGGATAAAATCAAGATACTGAAAATCTAACCAATATCAATTAAGCCAATGGGTTACGAATTAGTAGTTCAACCTGGGTTGAACTAGGGGTTAACTCGAAGGGCAAACTAATCCTGATTAAAATAATATAATTTAAATAAAAAATATAAATTATAAAAATATTCAACCAAATTCAAGATTAATCTTTAATACAAGATATAAATAAAACAATACTTATGGAATTACAATCACCCAAAAGTCTAACAATAATAAAATACAACTTTTTAAATATTCATTCTTACAATTACAATTTACAATCCTTCAATTATTAAAAAGTCCAAAACTAATCATCACTAACACTAAAATCATCAACAATGACAATCATAATTCATAAATACTAAGCAACAATCAGACAAATGAACACAACAAATAATGAAAGATTAAAAAAATTAATGCACAATTAACTTAAAAGAGTATTGAATCTTTTAAGTTTGAACTTACAATTAAGGCCCTCCATTCGAAGTTCAAATTACAGACAGTGAATTTTAATTTAATTGCCTTGCCCTCCATTGCTTTACTTTTTAATTTGCAAGCTGAATTTTTTTACTTTTATTTAGTTCTTATAATTTTTAAAAAAATAAAAACAAAAAAAAAGTGACTCGATTTACCCAGCAACCCGGCTACCATGTTAGCCGGGTTATCTTGGCTTGACCCTGGGGTTAGTCAAGTCATATTGAGTTAGTGGCTGATTGATTTAGATAAAAATTCAGACTGAAAAAAAAATCGGATCACCAATTTATGGACTGAATTGTTCGGTTTAGTTTGGATTTTCATACAATGGATATAATCATAAACAATGGTCTTAACAGAGTCAGCGACAATCTTAGGTTTTGACCAAATTCTATGAGACGCTACAAATAGAAAGGAGTGTGATGGGGAAGGAGGCTCGTGCTGCATTATGTTCGAAGCAAAGTGAACTTTTTTATGCCTTATGCGTATATTAATGGAATGTTGCCATGAAAACGAACTGTTATTGATTGATTGCTTGCTTGCTTGCTTGATTGGTGGTTGCCCAGTCCCATTAAGTACGGACCAAAAAGCAAAGCTAATGCTGATCTGTTTATTGACCCGCCCGTGCCGTGTAAAACCGGGGGAACGTGAATATAAAATCAGTGCCGTATTTCTTCCTTTCATTTTGGTTTGATTTGACACGTATCTTTCTTTCGGTACAATTTGGTTCAACTCTCCCTTTTGATTCCTCTGAATACTGGGACCATTATTAATTTGGCGTCATCATCCCCTTCGTACAAATCACTTGTCATGCCAAGTTGCATTGCCTGGAGGAAGATACAGTTCATGGAGCAATCATTTGGAATATATATTAGCACCTTGTATTTGAACCTTATTATTAGATATGTTAATCATTCGCATATCCACGTTTTTTTAGAAAAAATTGGAAAGCATGTAACATGTTCACGAGGAAATGACATTTAAGTTAAACAATTAATTTTTTTGATAAAAACTTAAAAAATAAATTACAAATATTAATTTAAAAATTTTAAATTCAAGAGTTCAAATTGCAAATAAGACATTTGAATTTTAAAAATAACTCTCAATTTATAATTAAAATTTTTATTTTTAGATATTTAAATTAATATTCACAACTCATTTTTAAATATTTAAATTGATATTCACAACTCATTTAAAAAAAATTATTGAAAACCAAATTTCTCATTAATTCACTATTTCAACACTCTTCTATCATTTTTCAATTGTTTATTATACATTGCACAAAATGCAGTTATTAAGAACCAATTAAAATTCCCATTATTTTTTATGCTTTGAATTGCTAATTTTCTGTTGAATCACACAGCCTGAAAAAAAAAAAAGAAATCTTATGCAGACATGGCATCACAAGGCTTGTCCAAATAAAATATATTTATATGTGTTCTATATTATTGTTAATTCAAGGAAGATAGACGGAGATGCAACCAAAATGAAGAGATAAAAAATGTGTTATCGAGATCTTCACCAGAAAAAATACAATTTTAGAAAGCCATCAGTTTTAGACAAACTCGACGATTTTTTCTTTATGCTGTTTTTTATCATCCTTCAGATGTTGATGCTAAGCAAGGGCACTGATTTCGCTTCTATATTCGCACAGGGTAAACGGTATACGAAATAATAAATCCCAAGACGCCATATATCCTACATGCTATTCTCAATTCAATTTTTTATTTGTCGCCATTCTCATGCATTCTTATATACACAAAGAGGCAAATGTAGTGCAATTAAGGAAGAAGAAAGAAAAAGTTTGGAGAACAAGGGGTAAATCAGATATTGGCACGGCTCAATCAGATTAAAGCTCTCAACTAGTGAATCCTGCGAGAACTTTGGCCTGATTGAACCGTGCCAACATCAAAACGAATCTAGAATGTGTTAGGCACATAACAAAGTGGCCAATATATATACATATATACTTACGTACACAAACACACAAAATACTTGAATGCACGGGGCTGCCTTGTCAATTGACAATTATGTGCAATGGAAGAGAGCAGAGAATGAGTGAGAGGCAAGACAGAGCAGCAACAGATAAAAAGAATGAAGAGGCAGATAGATGCTCGTGCGAGGGAAGACAGTGAGGAAGGTTGGGGTTGTATTTGGCTTATATAGGAAAGAGGGATCTGAGAAGGTTTGTCCATTTGATCAGACTGTGGAATAAAGAGAGAGGTTTAGCTGTGGTTGTTTGAAAGGTGGTGGTTCTTTAATTATGTTACACTACAATAATTAACTGGTGGATCTCTTTAGCCTCTACTCAGCTGTCATCATCTTCACAGTCATCATGCCATCATCATCATTTATTTGATTCATAACAATCATAATTAATGCCCCTTCCCTCTTCTTGGGCCTCACCACACCACCTGCATCTCGTCATTCCCAAGACTTACTGCTTCTGTCACCCCTTAATGGGCTTTAGCAGGAACAATAATCTCTTTATAATCCCTTTCTTCTTACATTCCTGGGCAATCATTCTACTTTGTAGAGGTTTCATGGTAAATTAGGCATATTTTGTTATGGAATAAGGGGGAGCACCCTATCATTATATGACTGTGGATGGCGGGGCCTGGTATTTCTGAACGTGCTTTATATCAGAGCTTATGAGAAGCAATGAAGGGTATTTCAACTCTCGTTTCACTAACGCAGGATTAATTGATTGATTGAGTTGGTAAATATTTGATCTATAATTTACAAGCTCAAGATATCAAATCTCATTACTGACATAAGAATTTTAAAATTCATAAGTATTTTATTAAGTACTCTTTGAGTTTGGGAGTATATTTTAGCTTTGGTGAAGTCTTGGGATCAATTCACCTAAATTTTTTTTAGGAAAAATATAGCTGCTCCACCTTAATCAAAACTCTTGTAAAATTTTAAAATATCAATTTAGTCTTTATGAGTTATATTTGGGCTAAATTAAAATTAATTTTTTAAGAGAAATGACACAAATAACTCCAATTCCTTCTATTGGTAAAAAAACAACTCATGTAAGGAATCTGAACAACGTCTATATGAAAAATAAATAGTTGATATAGAGGAAATTTGCAACTCTCACCAATATAAATATAAATAAGTGAAACTAAGAGCATAAACAGCTCGTATAGAAAGAATAAACAACTAACATAGTGGAAATTTGCAACTCATTAACAGTATAATGCCACAATAAATAAAAACAAGTAAAGCTAGATACATGAACAATTTATGTAAAGAAAATGAACAAGTAGTATATAAAAAATGAACATCTGACATAATAGGAATTTACAACTCTCATTAGCAACATAATGATACTATGAATAAAAACAAGTAAAGTTAGATACATGAATGACTCACATAAGAAAAATGAATAGCTGGTATATAAAAAATGAACAATTAACATAGATGAAATTTACAATTCTCATTAACAGCATAACACTTCTATAAATAAGGACAAGTAAAGCTATGTACATGAACAACTTGCATAGAGAAAATGAATAATTACTATGTGAAAAATAAATAATTCCCGTGTTTTGCACATAACTACAAAAAAATTTATTTTTTAAAATTTAAAAGATGGTTAATTTTATTGTTTCCTTTAACATTTTAATTTCATTTTTAGCCTTATGGTGTACAATGAATTAAGCTTCATACTTTTAGAGGTTCTTTTTAATTATGCTTTCCGGGGTTGGGGGTTGGGGGTTGGGGAATGAAATTTTCCGTTTTTTAAAAAAAGAAAATGTGTTTAAAGGTCGGGTTCATTACGGCACCGTCAGATTGAACTGATTTTCGAGTACTTTCCTTAACCATGTTTCTATTCCATATTTGCAGTTGCAGCTGTTGAATCTTGAAACCCCCACAACTTTAATTGGCCAGACTTCGTCTTAATTACTTCATTGATTTCGTATGTAATTTCATGAAGGATGTTCTGTGCAGGAAGATCCTTTACAAAGAACATCCTTTATCCTGACACATGGCTCAACATTTTACGCTCTTGATTTTCTCAATGCAGAAACGCATAATCCTGACACACACTGTCTGTGTATATATATAAAATATTTTAATTAAATTTTATATATTAATAAAAATTTATTATTTAATTAAACTTACATAAAAACATAATAATTTTTTAGTTTTACTCTTAATAATATCATAATTAATATATAATAATGATAGAAAAAATATATAATTAATAATTTATTTTATTTTTTAATATAAGGGTAAAATTATCTAATTATTTAAAAAGATCATTGTCACCCCTTATATTAAAGATAGAACAAGCTTCTAAAAAATATCTTATATATAAAAAGGGAGGGAGCATAGCATAAATGAAACTTATAAGTATTATAGAATACTACCTTCATTTTTATTTATAAGAGAAATTATTACTTTTTATTTATTTTTTTATATAAACAAAATCATCTATTTCGATAAGATTTATTACACATTTCATAAATTACCCCTCATAATTTACATTGATAAAAGATAATTAATGCAGGCTCATGTTAACTAACATAAGGCATTTTTGTTCATTTTTTCATTTTCAGACATAATTATTATGATTAACTAACTTTTTTAAATTGTGTGATATGTTTTTTTTTCTTATATATATAAAGAGAGGGAGTAAGGGCTAAAAAATTTATTTTGTATTTTTTCTCATAAATTGCCTCTATTTTGTTTTTTCATTAAAAAATTATAATATTATATTATATTAAATCCCAACATAAAACCAGCATGGGAATATAAAAGAATATACTGAGGAGCAAGAGGATATTTCTCAATCCCTGTTCATCTCACCAAGAAAAAAACAACACAAACTTTGAAGAGAATGCCAGATATCACTGGGCTCGGGCTAATTATACTCTTCCACGATGGAGATTCTATCATTCCGTGCAACAAGTCCTGCAAATTTCCACCGCGTGTCAGGGCAAAATGCGAGTTTCTGCGTTGCCCATCTCTGCACATAATCCGTGAAGAAGCAGGAGTCGTCAATGATACAAACACAAAAACTAAAATTATTAATTACCTCTGAACCGTTAACCAAGCATCACGCCAGCACCAAAGAATTTTCCATCCTATACCTTCCACGGCGAAAACAGGAGAGAAGTAGTTAATGTGGATAAAGGTAATGCACATTTTGGCCCATGGATTACCAGATTCTCTAGTCCTTCAAAGAGGAAAAGTAACACAGACAAAATGCCTTCTCAAATGTAATCCCCTCCCTGCTCTGTTCCGGAAATCTAACAAAATCCCGAGTAATTGAGGATGGACAATTTTGCAGAAGGAAGAATGCAAACAAGAATCCCAACTTGCATTTGGGCGATGTAGAACTTGACAATCAGGCAGAATATCGAACTTTTTATCTGTCTCTAGTCTAGTACATGTCCGATTAAAGCAGTGCACCCCACGTTGTCATCCCCACTTTACTGTCCCAACTAACTGTTCGTTGCTCCATCGTGTACAAAATTAGAGCAGAATTGCCAGATTAAGAAGTTATTAAAAACACATACATGCATGGTTCCCTTAAAAAACACACACACACACACATGTATGGTTCTCATGCAAAGTTGGATGCCTCCTCAAAAGCCACAATCATCAGCACTCCCCATGCATTACTGTTGCAATCACTTTCAAATAATTTCAGTTTTCAGAATCCGAAGATTAAAAGGGTTGAGTGAGACCGAACATGATAACAGGCAAGTTGCGAATATGATGACAGACAGTTAATTCTGAAGGTCTTGGACATGCAGTCTTATATGGATGAAATGCAATGCGCAACGTGTTTCTAAGAAAGTGCTTCCTTTAGATTTGCATAGCTCAATCCTTATCCACTTTAACACAAGTATCATCTGATTTCTTCCTTCTCTTTCAAGATATGCATTTTTCTTTCCAGTGCTCCACTGGATTCCGGTGGCTTCCCCTGTGTTAGTCTCTCGATAAAGTGCTTAAATGGTCAATTTTCCTAAATACAGTGTGAGCTTAAAAATCTTAGGTTTCTTGTTTCTTAATAAAGTGATGGTACCTATCAGAAAAAGCTAGGTCCTAGTGGATGAAGTATCTATCCCTTCCACTCCGAACTTTCAAGCTAATTGTGGAATTAGACGGTTCTTTACGCTAAACTCCGGATTAAGCCTATCCCATACCCTTCATTAGGAGTCAAAAAATTCTTAAGCCATGGCAAGTTAGATATTAAGGAAAATATCGGATTGTCTGTATGCACTTTTTAGACTAAATTGTCAGAAATTTCGTTCCAAAGAGACAGAATCTGATCCCACACCTTTTTTTTTTTTGGGGGGGAGGGGGAATTGAAAAAGGCGAATGAACTAGGATAGAAATAAGTTATTATTGGTTCTGTTAGAATAAAACAGATAAACCAACCTGAGATTACCTTATGAAATAAGTGGAATATATATATATATATATATATATCAACCAATCAATCAATACTAATAACAAATTAAGAAAATCTAGGCTAGTTTAAAACTAATTTTATTTTATTGTTTTAAAAACTAATGTTTATCTGTATAACATGTTTTAAAAACAAAAAATAATAATGAAAGCATATGCTTTTGTGTTCTCTCTTATTCTCCATAGCAGTTATCCCATAATACTTAAAAAATGTTTTCATTTTTTTGTTTTGCAAAAAAAATCTTTGATTTTTGTTCTTGTTCTTCAAAATATTTTTTCAAAACATATTATTAAACAGAATTTTTTTCCTGAAAAATAGAGAAATGTTCCCAGAGAAATTGTAAAACAAGCCTATATGCTTCCAGCAGATTTTTCTAGCTAAGGGACCACAGCTACAGCCCCTCCACTGACGCTCGTGTCTATCTAAATTATCAATTAAGCACAAAATGACACCCTCGCAACAATATATAAACACGCAAACACACCATCAAGTTCAAGCCACTTTATCATATTGGTTTGAGACTCACAACAAACAGCAGGTGTGCAGATCCAAGGATGGAGGCAAACCAAAAGCGAAGTAGAGGTTTCTTTAAGGGAAAGCTGATGCCATTCCATCGGGTGCCGAAGCCCGCCGCGACCGCACAAACAAGGGTGATGAAGGCTAACCAGCCCACGGCTTGCCCTGCGGCTTCGGTAGGGATCTTGGTCCACCAAGACTACGCGATTGCGCGGCCAAAACCAAAGGTCTCGATCTTGGTAGCAGGTAGTCGTTGCGACGTGATGAGCCAACGATGGGAAGAGGTGTACGGGATGGCAGGCGATGAAAGCGTCGACACCAAAGCTGCGATCTATATATCAACAGTTCAGGAGCGTTTGAAGTTGGAGCATTTAAACTCGGAACGAATCCCGATTCAAGACAACCAAGCTTAATTAGTCATCACAGTTTGAGTGACTTTGTGCAGAGTTATGGTGATGTTGCGTGAGTTGTGTATCTAATCATCTGGGAAGGTTTAAAGAATAGTTCAGCGCGAAATTAGGTGAAGAATGATGGAGTTATTGTTCAAATTTGTGACTGTCATGCATTAAAATTTAAGAACCCAAAGTACCTGCTTCAGCAGTAGCTACCCGGCATGCATGCATGAGTTAATCATTCCATATCTACTCGTCCGTCACTCTACTTGACTCACTTCTCAACCCTAAACTGTCCCTTAGGTGTGAAATAGTTCCAACAGATCTCAAACGTTCCACCCAACAAGAAACATGAATCCCACAAAGTAAACTAATTTTTTACTGTTTACAATTTGTTAGCAATCTGATTTCTTAATGATTACGTGTGTATTAATTATTAATTAATAAATTAATATTTCATTCAAAATGAAAGCGTTATACATGTGCGTGGGAAATATCCTGGCGTTCAGCTAGGATGGTAAATATTCGATAGCTAAATATAAATTAATACTACTTTTTTCTATTATTCTGAAATATGAACAATTATTATTTATGTGTTAGAAATTTTTTTTTAAAAAAAACAGTACTCTTAAAAAATTTACTGATGTTTGTTTTTTAACTAGTCATCCTACCAAATAATATTAACCAATAATCCGAATTCAATCCATGCCAGTTGGCAGAAAACTCTCCAAATGTAATTTTTTTATTCATAAAATTCAAAATAAAATCCATAAGTAAGATGTGCTGTGGCGCTGTGCCTTCCCTTATTTATTCATAATGGAATGACTTTGCCGGATTCTCTCTAAAGGTCCCGAAAGGTAGAGAATCTCATGCCATCGGGCATAGGCCATCCTAACTTCTAGCTCCTCGGGTTCCCATGACGTTGCGTAAATGATGTTTCATAATCATGCATCTATATATGCTTCGAAACAACAGCTGTTAATTGTTAATTAATTACTCTTACGCTCATGAAATTAGATTGTTATTTCTAAATATTTTTCATTCTTAGAGTCGGCTTTGCTCCTCCTGTTGCACTTCCAGATTTGATCTGAACAATTCAAATTTAATATTTCATTTATTTATTTTCATTAAAATAAAAAAATTAATAAATTTAATGACTAATTTGGATGGTTTAAATTTAATATTAATTGTCCATGTTTTATATTAAATATGCACTGTTTAAGTCATATCTGTTTGAAAAATATGAAATCTGGATTATTAGTATTAAATCCAGACAGTTCAAATTAGATTTATTAATTGGTTTATAAATTTTTATTCTAATAAAAATAAAATATTAAATCTAGTCCGTACGGTCTGAATTTTGGACAAAAGCCGAGTTCTTCGTTCTTACTCCCAACGAAATACTTTCATTTTCAAATTTTTAGTATCACATAACCGAGTCTCTAAAAAGATATCTCGTTCATATATTACATAATACGAGGAAATAAAATATAATAAAACACGTATGAAATTGAACTTATTGATAGAATTTTAATACCTTCATTTTCATTAAGCAAGGAAAGAATATAATAAGACTAAAAGTGAAATGTTAATTGTTAGTTTGTCACCCATAGGCCTAGGGGTGAGCAATGATTGGTTCGATTTAGTTTGGTCTCAAAACAAGTAGAACTAATCGACCGAATAACATTGAAAATAAAAATTAAATCGAACCGATCAAACCAATCAAATCGAATAAAGATCAAACCAAAATTTAATAATTCAGTTCAATCGGTTAATTTGGTTTTTTAGTTTTATATTAAACTATTAAAATTGGGCTCATTTTTTTAAATATTAAAACAAACAACACTACAAAATTGGACCCTTTTTATTCATTTTTTTAATATGAGCCCATTTTAATTACACCCATATAACATAAAGTTCAAATATTATAAAGACATGGATAATCAAATAAACAATTTATAAAAAATAAGGTTGAAAGTAACTGACCGAAATAGGGTTTCAAATGATGTTATTATTTTTTATTCTTTATTAAAATAAAAAATAAAAATAAAATAAAATAATTTATAAATTAAATATAATTTATAAATTAATAAATTATATGTAATTCGGTAGGTTCGGTCTATTTGATTTTAAATTTTACTAACCGAATCGAACCAATCAATCAAAATATTTAAAATAAAAAAATCAAATTGAATTAAAAAATTAAATAAATTAAATTAAATAGATAAAATTTAATTTAATTCAATTCGATTTTTAATTTCAATTTGATTTTCCCCACCCCTAAATGGGCCTGTAACATATTTTCCCTTGGGCTCTTACAAAAGGGTAACATGGGAAAAAAGGTACACAAACGAACCGAGAAGTCTCCCGGAATAAACATTGGAGATAACGCAAGCCCAATTTACACTAGCCCAAACTTAATCGACCAAACAGCTCGACAACGTTTTCCTACGAAACCGATCACAGCTATTCCTAAATGGAATGAAAATAATCTTGAACGGTGCAATTAAGAATCCGTCTATTTATGAGAGGCAAGTGTCCCTTTTGTTTAATTACTTTAATGAGCACGAAAGTAGTTTAATTAATGTTTCAATTATTTTAGAAAGCCTCAATCAAATCAGTTTTCTGGATACCGCCAATGATTAAAATTCTGATGGTTTCACTGTGGAACCCGAACAGGGGATATAAGGGAATGGGCATCGCATAGAGCTTTTGATTTTTCTGGCGCTTGAAAGCCGATCAAGAAACCAATTAAATTAATTACGCACCCAAGCTTCACTTTCAGGTTCATTTCGTTTTCTGAACGTAAGGTTCCTTTCATTTCTCATTCCTCTCCGGTAGGTCCATATCTATGTACTCTTTTTCCATGTTCCTACAAGTTTAGCACCTTCCAGAGTGTCTCCGACCATGACTCGCGTCTTTATTAATTGATACACACATTTCATTCCTCTTTTTGTAAGTGCATAGTTTAATGAATATGATAGACCCGCTTTGATCAATCTGTAAAGCAAGCAGAAAAGAGACCCCAAGTGAAGAATTACACTAAGCTTACGAGAAAAAGATCACAACAAACAACATTTTTTTTCCCAACATGGACGATACTTTACTTGATAAAGCAAACCCACTAGCGTGATCATACCTTTCCTCTCTTGCTATCCCAAGGCAAAAGCCTTCTTACATACGAAGTCTATGGCATCCCCTTCTACTTAACCACCAAGGAAGAGCTCCACATATTAAGAAACCTGTACTTGGGTTGCTTCATTCTTCGCTCTCTCTCGAAGCTAAGTGATCAGTTCAGCAGAAGCTGGCAATTCCATTTGCATACTCTACACAGAGAAAACAACAGAGCAGAGGTAAGAATGGGAGCTGATTGGGGACCGGTAGTGGTGGCGGTGGCTTTGTTCATCGTCTTATCGCCGGGGCTGCTGTTCCAGTTGCCGGCGAGGCATAGGGTGGTGGAGTTCGGAAGCTTGGGTACCAGTGGAATTTCCATTCTGGTTCATGCCATCATTTACTTCGTTGTGCTCACCATCTTAGTTATCGCTATTGGAATTCACATACGCGTTAATTAATCACCCACCTCTCTCTTTTATTTCTTATTTTTCATCTTTTTCTCTTCACTCTTGAGTTTTCTGATCTGAGACCGGGTTCCCTGCTTGACGCTGTCCTTTTGACACTATCTTCAAACCTCTTTCTGCTTGATTGCCATCTGCAGCCAAGTTTCCCTTGAGGTGGCAGTTTTAAGGCTCTTTCGGGCTTTCCAAGTTCCCACACATAATAGGTTGCCAAAGAAATGTTGTGAAAGTCGAGCTGGCTTTGTGATATTATCTGGCGATGGGATAGAAATATACTTGTTTTTTTTCCCCAGATTTACCTGTAATTCGAATTTGGCCACAAATAATCTGATAATGTTACGTTCAAGATTTATAACTTTATATCATCAACATGAAACGAGCAAGAATCTATGGTGCCATGCTCCTTGGTTCGAGTGATTTAGTTGGTGCGATTCGTGTTGAAATAATTTGAAATCGTACTCGATAATCTAAAACAAGGCACAGTCCTCGTGTTTCAGCTTTTATTCTTATTATTCTCTTGCTGTTCTCTCTCTCTCTCTCTCTCTCTATATATATATATATATAAGCAAATTTTACATTTTTTGATCTTCCGATCTGAAGAAGTTTCATAGTATTTCAGTATTTCTAGTCTGAAGAGGAAAGGATATTATCTAACATTCACCGATTAAGACAGACGGAGGCTCCTGCTAGACAAAGTTCGAATATAAATGATCTATTTTCATATCGATTAAATAGTATAGGTTGGCAATGTGCTATTTAGGTCGAGTGTAAGGTCAATTTCAGTGCCATCCGGATGTACCACTGACAGTCTGACATATTAAAGAATAAAAACAGCCCCGAACCTTTCTTTCAATCGTAATTTTCTGGTAGACGATATAACATTCTAATATACCATTGACTGTAGTAGTGATAAATTTTAGGTACGCGAGACAAGCTAAATATGGAGGCCGCCCAAATCAAAATCCATGTAACAGGAGACTGGTTTGGAACATTTTTAATAAAATCTGAGAACTCAAAACCAATCTTGTTTTCTAATCAAAGCCGCTGTATCCCAACTTCAAACTACTCTTTCGTTGTTAGACGACGCAAGAGCTTCAAAGTTGAAACCGAAAATTAAAAAATCTCAGAAGTCGATTTGAAGCGTCCAAAAGAACGGACGCAGTCGGTTCACCAAAATCAGTAAAAAAATCAAGACATTCCGAAAGAAAGCGACCAGAAGATTATCAATAATCCAATAAAGGAACCTTAGCCTTCATTTATATACTTAATTGAAAAGTCACAGTGAAACAGAACCGGAAAAAAGGAGAGGAGAGAATTAGGGGCAGCGATGCGGCGGGTGCGAGCAGTAACGGCGGAGGAAACCTGATCAGCCGGAGTAGATGTGAACGTGAAGGGCGAAGAGAATGAGGGCATAGAGAGCGAAGAAGATGAGGGTGTGAATGAAGATGGCCTTGCCGTTGGTCTTCATGCTACCGAACTCGAGCTGTCTGTTGGTGCCGGGGAAGGCAAAGAGCAGGCCAGGCTGGAGGATGACGAAGAGGAGGACGCCGATCACCACGGGACCCCAGTCAGCCATATTGTTCGAGGAAAAAATGAATCGAGTTGATAGCTTTCGGTGCCGGGATGGGCTCGGGAAGGGACTTAATGGGGCTGGGGACGTGCAGGAAACGGAAAAGAGTGGGAATGTGACACCTGGGGAATTGGAACAATCTCGATGAACGCACCGTCCTTGCTGTAACTGTTGCTGGCACCTTCCACATGTACTAGTCGGTGCAATCAGCTTTGCTCCTTTGCACCCGTTTCCATCCAATTCTAACCCATCCACAGGATCGTATCAAAACAAACAAACCAAACCAAAACCGATTTCCACTAAGGTTTGCTTTGATTGGGAAAGGACTTTAGAAGACATTTTTGGCATACTGGCATACGGGTCGGGTCGTTGGAGTCCTGATTTGATAGGCTCCGTTCAAAAAAGCGATGCGAGGACCATGGGATGAAATTCCATGCTTTTGCTCCGTTGTACCATTTGCTCTTCTCCTGTCTGTGTATTTTTGACCAGGTCCACACCCATGACACTCCCATGTTTTACTTTGGTAAAGCCACTGATGATGCCTGTGTCTTTGTTGGTGGAGGACCAACCATGCTTTGCTATCGTACCTTCCTCTTTCATTTCCCGCTCTATTCCCTCTTCCGCAGAAACTGAGCACCATCTTCCCGGGAAACACAAATCAAATCATTTCCACGGCATTGACTTCTTTATTACAAAAAGAAAAGCACGAAAACCATGCTTTTCTTATCCAGAAAAAAGGGAGATAAAGATGTTTAGCTAGCTTTATAGGATTCCAATACTCAAGGCTTGCATTAAGAACAGCTTCCAACTTGTGGCGCTTGTGGTTGTGAGGATGCAGGATTGGGGGGCGCCTCTGATAGCGGCGGTCCTGTTCGCCTTGCTCTCGCCGGGGCTGCTGTTTCAGATGCCCGGTCGGAATCGGCCCTTCGAGTTCATGAACATGAACACCACCGGTTCTTCCATCTTGTTCCACGCCTTCCTTTATGTTCTCCTTCTCACTCTTTGCTTAATTGTTTTTAATCTCCATCTTTATGTGTAGCTAACTACCCCGTTTCACTTCTGCTGTAATGTAAACGTTTTGAATATTTGCTCTGTAATGTAAACGTTGATCCATGGCTACGCATTATTCCCTTGTTTGAACAGCTTTCAGTTTTATTGCATATCGTAAGAATACATGTAAACATTCAATGCCTGTCTGTTGAGTAACTAGTGTTAGATGTGAAGTGGAAGACAGGATTAAGGAGAAACTCTCTAATGAGAATGAGACGGTCCACAAAAAGATGTACACGTCATCGATTGCCATAAACATTCATTGACTCCGATCGTTTTTTCGTTTGTTGTGTGGCTTTGACATTAATGCCCTGCCTTTTTTTTTTTTTTAACTTTTCATCATTTTCGTTTTCTCGACGGGATTAATGCATGCAAGAGATTTTGGGTTGAGTGAGGACATCATCCAGAATTTGATAATTTGATTGTTTCTGGTCTAACCAGTCATCACTCTTTCCTTTTGCGCTTGTCAACCCTGAATGCCGCTTGATTCCCAACATCATGAATACCTGTCTCATTCATTGTGAAATCGCATCTTTGTATTAAGAATCATTACTACATATATTCAGTCTAAATCTTCCTTACTGGATATTTATTTCATGAACGTATTTTTTAAAAATATTTTTTGAATCCCAAACATGTTGATGGCCACTGTTCTATTTTCATTTCACAATGATATGGTAGTCCAGAGCCCGGGTTGAAAAAGAAATTCTTTTGAGGCTTTAACACCTGTAGCTAGACCTGAAAGCTATACAGAACGTAATATCTTTCTTTCTCTTTCTTTCGTGACAAACGAGCGCGAATCAAATCGTATCTTAACTTGGATTCCATCACCATAGCATTAACATGACCCATATCCCTGTAGGGAAATTGGGGCATGACGGACAAACTTACCGATGAATCCTTTCTTAATCCCCTGTTTAATTCTCGGAACACAGAGTAAGTCATTCATTACTCACATGATCACATCCATAGACATGTCAATTTTGTAATCTCAGGAATAGCATTGATTAAATTTCTCTTAATCAAGTCGAATGCCAAATTAAAATCAACCAAGTTGAAACAAATAAACATGCTTCAAAATGGCAAGAGTTACAGAAACCCAAGTCTGAAAGAATATACAACGATGGAAAGTCAATTATACAATACAAGTCCCCCCAAATTGAATGAAAAATCCAACCAAGTACAACCGCATGCACATGACACTCAAATTAGTTGACGGGCTAAAACTGAATTGATGATAACTAGTCCACAAGAATCAAAACCCAGAGACTCAAACGAAGTGCAAAAACAGAGGACTGAGGGATCACGAACCCATGTACATGTGGATCCCAACGGCCAGCAAGAAGATGCAAATAAGGGCAAAATAAAGGATGGCATGGACCAGTATGGATACGCCACTGGTCTGGAAATTCCCGAATTCTACGATCCTGCTTTTCCCGGGTATTTGTATGAGCAGCCCAGGCGTCAGCAGGATGAACAGCATCACGGATACGAACACAGGACCCCAATCTGCCATCTTCTTACTCTTCTTCCTGGATCTGATCTGTTGATTCTGGTTGCGGCATTCATGAATGGGAAACGAGACTTATAAAGAGAGTGAAAAGGAAAGGCGGCACCTTTTTGAAGAAGAGACAAGCAATTGATGAGTAGGAAAAAGCAGGGAAAGCTTGCAGGATCAAGCTATTCTGATTCATATATACTTTATTTTCTTGTTTTTACAACTCACACGCATGGCACCAAATCTCAACGAAGCTTCATGTTCTTAAGGTACAACCCTCTGGCTTCATTTGGGGAAAGCCCCGTTGGCTTAATACGTCTCCACGCAATCAGGACTTGAGTACAACGGTCATATTATGTCGCCACATGCGGGTTATCAATGAGGGCACTCGATCAGAACATGGATTTCTTATGTAATTTAAGGAATAAAGACACTTTATGATAACTTGCAAAGCAAACATTCAATCTTCATATGTCCAGCAATTTTTTTTTTTTTAAGGCACAATCCTCCCGATCAAGCAACCAGGCGCTAATGAATTTTAAAAGATAATTGAATTAAAAAAGGGGGGGTCAGTTGGAAAACAGCTGCAGAGACTGAGAGTACGTAGTTTATTTGTTCAAAATTACTTTACAATGTCCTATCACGTATGGACGATTTCTTTTAAATAAGCAATAAAATTGGGTGAAAAAGTCCAGAATATTAAAAAATAGTTGAGCAGGAAGCCAAGGCAAAGTTCAAAGTATCCAAAGCTATTATCTCTGCATCTCCACCAAATTCATCGGACACATAGTTTCAAATTAGTTGCTCGTAATCAAAGAATAAGAGAAATAATGCGAATATTCCGAACCCCAGGCAGGGGCGAAAATCGAAATCATGTTCATATTTAAGAGCCAGTTTGGAAGCGTTAATTTAAGCATGACAGTCCAGTTAAGGCCCAAGGGATGTTTGGAACAAGTGGCATTTGGGTGGTGGAACTTGGAAGGATGACCCAGTTTGTAAAAAAATGAAACTAAAAGCGACCATCCAATATTGGTCCATACTTTGAAGGAGTAGCCCAGCAAAGCAGTTCCTTCCAAAACCCAAAGAGATCTATTCGTTTGTTGGTAAATAAAAAGGTTACGTCGACAGCAGGATTCGAACCTGCGCGGGCGAAGCCCAACAGATTTCAAGTCTGTCTCCTTAACCGCTCGGACATATCGACGCTGTCGGTAATGAGCGAATATTTATTTATTTTTTGTCTTTATTCACGGCTTCACTTCTGAAAAAATGACAGGCAAGATTGAATTGATTATAGTAAAATCCCAAAAAAAATTTGAAAATAAATTATAAATTCAACGATTTTAATTGCATGTAAAATATTTAAGTTTTAAAAATAATTCTTAAATTGTATCTGATTTTTTTTTTGTAATTATTTGACCCAATATTTGTAACTTGAATTTGCGAGACACCTTTCTATTATTAATTCAATGTATTAGATAACTTTCCTTCCCCCTCTTCTTTTCCCACACATCTAGATTCCAGGTGCGAAGTCTTTCTTTTATAAATTTTCCCACACAAACAAATCATCCAAAACAAATAATTAGAATAAGCTATTGAAAGAATATTGACCGAAGGTGCGAGAGGCTGGCAAAAAACTCTGATGGCCACAAATTAAATTACTTACCTTGTTAATCATACTCCGATAAATTAATGCCGCATGGATTAAAGAAATCTGTGCGTTCCAGGAACATCTTAAAGAAATTAGGTCAACGTGATATTTTAGAATCATCACGAGTTTATCGGTAGAGAAAGGAAACAATATAAAAAGAAAGAAATCTGGAGGGATCGTGGCAGAATCAAATCCATAATGTCGAACTAAATATAAGTCGGAATGGTTATCTATGCAACTCAATTATTTGATCGGGGCCACGTAATATGCTAGTCACAAGTTTATCAGTTTATCTCTTCCAACCAATAATGGAAAACGGAAACGGTCTTTGGCTGCTCAGACTTAAGACTTTACTCCCTCTTTCTTGTTTGTTGAAACTCGAAAATAGTTCATCTCCACTAACACAAGGTATTGATAATTATTTGAAGATTCTAAAAAAATTAGTCGATGAAAACTCAATTTTGTAAAACATCTCACGTCTTTCCAATTATACATTTGTCACTTCATATAATATCCTGACAGTCACAATTAAAATTTTAATACATTATTTAAAAAATAATAATAAACAAAATAAGGGCACAGTTAAAAAATTATTATAAAATTATTCAATACTCTATATTTTAAAATTTAAACCAAGAAAGCTATATAGAAAAAGTTACATGTTGTAATTATGGAGTGCTAGGCTACAGGATCTAAAAAATATGAAATTCTCTCCCTATGTTTTCGAAGGGGGAAATTGATTGCCATTTAATCCTGTAATAATTCACAGATTTTATTTTTTATTTTCTGGGCAGAACAAAGATGCTCGGCTCTGAAGAGATAAACAGGTCAACCGTCAACACCCTTGCATAACCAGGGCGATGCTGCTTCCCATGCCCAGTAATTAAGTCACGTTACGTACTGTTGAAAATAAGTTTAATTTAATTTTCAGAAAAAGGAGTTTAATTATCTTCTTCATATTAATTAATTAATTCATGATGTTCAAGAGAGGGATGGCAACCACAAATATCTGTGACAGGCAGGGGCGATCTAGAACCAATTTAATGGGGGCCAAAATGCAAAATTACATTATAGTGGGTTGCTAAAGTTAATTTTAACAATTTTTTTTGCACTATGGAGTGCTTGCCCCCCTAACTCCATCTCAAGTGAGAGGGTGTATTTGAGGTGTTGAGAATGCTGGAAGCATGCAACGAAGGATGCATTGTCTTGTTGATATTACTAGAACCCAAGGAAGTGTGAAGCCTTAAAATAATGTTTAAAAAATTGGTCCAAATCAACCGATTTGATTGATTGAATTGAGAATCAGTTACTGGTCTAGTTTGGTTTAGACATGTAAACAAGAAGAGAATTGAACCAGTAAACTGATCAAAGAATAGGAAAAACCAAAAAAAATGGTGATTTAAACAATTGGCGAGTTCATAGTTTTTTTTAAGCCTCCAAACATTAAAACGATGTCGTTTTGACTTTTTATAATTTTTTATAATATTTTTAATTTTTTATTAGTTTATTGTTTACTTAATAATATTAAATCACTATAATTTTTCCTATCTAGCCTCTATCCCAATCGAACGCATCTTAAACTTCTTTGTTTTAATCGTCATTCATCATACTTCAATCGACTATATTTACAAGAGCTCTTGACATATCCGTCATTGTCTTTCTCCTTAAACTTTGTAGAGATTGTTGAGCTCCTCTCCCAGGAGCCTCTATCAACTCCCCCCCCAAGGTTGAGTCCTCCCTTCTATATCACTCTCTCTCTCTCTCTCCCCCAAGGTTGAACTCAGTGTCCAAACCCTATTCTCTTATCCTGTCTCGTACACATCTCTTACAGTGTCACCCTTCTCTCCCAAGATTCATTTTCTAATTACTTATTTGCTTTAGTAAATCTGCATTCTTACCCTGACTTGCTTTCACATTCACAATTGTCTACTTGTATATAGTTCATGTTTCAATTTTTGTGATTGTTTTGTATTCAGTTATTTAAATTTGTATTTGTTTAAATTTAAATTTTTATTGATTGTTAATAATTTCTAGTCATCATGGTTTATGGATTATTGGATTTAGTAAATGTTATTATCTGTAATTGAGACTTTTAATTCAAAATGTTGGATTGTTATATTATGGATTTGGTTGTTATATTTGTGATTTTTTTAATTTTAAATAACATTTTTATGCTTATATGGGAATTTGATTATTAGCTTTTAAATGTATACTGTTTAAAATATATTAATTTATTATTAACCAGTTTGATTATTGAACCGTGAATTATTACCCCAATTAATTTGATAACCAATTCAATTTTTAAAACCTTACATTGAAATACAAAATTTGATGCAGAAAGGGTGTGTTTTTAAAGTTTTTTTTTCTTATAGCTTTGACTTAATAATAATATGTATTTTTTTTCATTGTAGCATTAGTATTTTTAAAAATTTAAGGTATTATTTTCACTCATCCAAGCTAATCTAAACCTTCACTGTGTGAAATTATCATCGCCAGTAGTGGTCTTGCAAATATCTAAAAATATTTATAATATATTTATCAATTCAATCAAATAAAATCTCATGTTTTTATTTTTAAAAACTTTATTTTTAGAGTAAAATGTTTCTTTAACTTGTTATTTTTTTTCTTTTTTTATTATTTTTAATGAAAGAATTAATTTATATTTATTATTATTTAATATATCATACATGATTGTTACAATCGCGACTTGAATCGTTAGAATAGTCACTTTACATTTTTAGGTGACTTTATTTGGTTAACTTGACATTTTAGACGGGCCACTCTTCTCCACGCGCTCAAACTTGCGTGTCAGTTCATTGAAATCGCTTTGATCGCAATTACTGGACTCCTCAGGATGAGTTGGACTGTAATCATAAGTCTCAAATGGTTGGACCTCACTTGTCCAAAAAGGTTATACGCCAAAACCCATTGTATGCTTCTAAAATGGCAGTAAGTTATATACTCTCTTCATACCATAACATAAGACATAATTAATTAGTTTATAACTTGTGAACGATACTAGTTAAAATATAAAATTTTCACAAATATTTATATTTTTACTAAATGTCTTACATGAAAGTCTTGATAATAATGATTAAAATTCTAGTTCATTGTTTTTTTCAAAAAAAAGTAATAAATAAAATAGGGGTGCAGTTACAAAAATAAATATAAAAGTTATCCAACATCTTATCTTTTAGATCAGGTAAGACTTTTAAAATATGTATTATATTATTATCCAGAAGGAGTGTGTGTATTTGTGATACTTGTAGACATAATTTATGGCAAACAACAAATATGTTAAAAATTATATTTCATTAATAAATTAAAATTTTAATACGATATGAAATGAAAGACAGGTGTCTTTGTTTTTTGAAATGGTATTAATGTCATTTATGTATAAATTATATTTTTTTACCAAAAAAATTAATTATATTATTTCTGGCATGCTGTGAACGGTTAATAATCCAAGCAAAAGCACAATCAATACAATACTATGAACAAAAAAGTGGTCATTAACTATTTAATATTTTTTTCAAAGACATTTTTGAATTAGTTGCTTTTATTTGTATAATTTCTCTTCTTAACATAAATATGATTATTCAAGCTCAAACAAGCTTTCTGATTAATTATAAGGTACTAACAATATTTTAAAAACATTTTAACTATTTAATAACAAGTTAGCCTTTAATAATTATCAAGGTAGACAAATA